GCCCCAACCGCTACACGGTCTTAAATTAGTCATTAAGGAAGAGGTGCTCCCGATGAAAGACCAACCGGAATTCCCAGCACTAGCATTACTGGCCGCGCGTGGCTTGCTCGCACCAGATACATGGAAGTGCAAACGTGCGCAGGTTAGCCTCAAGGCAACAATTGATGTCCCAATGCTAGGCACAATCATCGAGCAAAATGGTGATGGGCTTCTAGAAGACTCCCACATGCCAGTGGGATGGCCACTGCACATCGATGGTGCCGTTAGGCAATGTTGTATTCACCGATCTGCGACCCTCCAAGAACTTGATGACATGCTAAAAGAATATGACATGAAAAGAGATTCAGTTGAAATAAACCATGACGCACCCCAATGGTCTCACAACGCAGTATGGAACAGAAGGTACATGGAACCGAAGACAGGATACACGCTGCGGCAACTCTGGGCTGATTCCGAGCCGGCCATTGGGCAGAAATCTTCCCCTTCTTATGAAGTCAAAGATGGTGACATTTCACGTGCAGTAGCCGCTATCACAAACCTGCCGTCTTCCACGCTGCCTGACAGTCCCTTCATCCGTGCATTGGGGACACCGGCAGCTCAAAATGCCCCACCACAAACTGGCACCCTGGCGCAAAGAGCCCTAGAGGAATGGGAACGCACCCTGTGCGAAAACAAGGCGGTGGCAATCCTTGCACAGATGCAAGCCGGCCGGCCGGCCCTCATCCAGAAAGATGGCGGAGAAATGCTCATTGCCATTGTCCTTGACAGGCCACTGGCGGAAGCGAAGGCACTAGTGGACGACCCTGCAGCTTTCACTCGCGAAATGACTAGGATTCTGCTTGCAAAGCAAAAAGCCATCCACTTATCGCGCGAATGATCAAACCAGCAGGAAGTGGTGACCCACCCCCCTCAAGTAGCACAGCCAGTAGCACCGGCAGCCACGAACACCCCAGAGCCAGTCAGCCCGTGCAGTTCCAGTAGTCTCACACGGTTAACGTGGGGTACCCGCGGTTGCCACACATGACAGGTAACCACTGTGTAGATAGGTGCTGTCACCATGGGGTACCCATGGTTGACTACTGCCTAGTGGAGCTGATTAGGTGGTAAGCTTGCCTTTGTAAGTATGGGAAGGGAGGAAGGGGGAGGGGGACAATTGTAACATTTTTAATGGGCCACTATATATATCTAGTTACTGGTAGCGTAGGACGATGTCAAAGTACATCAAGCCATGGCGCCCGTTGCTGTTTTGCTCAGCTCAATCCAGTACCTTCACTGCTCGAATGCCGCCTGGCCATATGAATACAGCGCAACCGAGTGAATTGGCATGCCTGCCTCAAGAACCCCAGAGTCACAATGAGGCACAAGATCTCCTCCTTTTGCAGGACTATGTTTGCAAACTGACGCACACCCTAAGAACACTGGAAGACACCCATGCCTTATTGCAGCAAACAGAACTCCTTGCAGGCGTCATCAACGAGCAAGATTGCAGAGCCATACGCACAGCCTGCTGTTGCATAAAGAGTCTGCGCATCCGTGTAGAGGCCCGAGCCAATGTTACAGAACGCGAAGTTATAAGTCGACAGCTACAGCTCATGCAAGCGAGCGTACAACATTACCCGACAGAGGACCTCAACACAGCTGACACAAGTTGCCTGTCCAGAACCTCGGCTGAACACTTTGATGACAGACCTGGTCCCTGTTCAGAGGAAAACGCTCGCATCCCTGTATCAATGTGACTGAGCTAGCTACCATGGTCAACCGACCGCATCAAATGCAATTGGCTGCAGCGCCTGCTAAGTTGACCGCTCGAGGAGCTCCACGCTTGCAAGCCTGCATCAATGCTGTCGAGCTAGCGATCATCGCTAACTCGATCGCATTGGATTCAGTTTTGAAAGCGGTATGCACCGCAAGAGTGCACTACAGCTCCCAATGATGATGATGCTTGGAAAAGAACAACTGAGCGGACTCTGAGTGTGCCCTGAGTGCCGTAGCTATTGCTGTCATTTTCACCTTAGATCTTGTTTCACTTCCTGTTTCACCGTTTTTTTCGTTTCTCACCACTCTCGTTGCGACCCGGCGTTGTCGGTGTTTGCTTCGAAGTGCCAGGGTGTAATGTCATGCCTGAACGGCTGCTCTTTGTGATCTCGGGGATCCTGGCTGGGGGGATCCCTGGTTTCCGCATGGAGCTTTGTTGCTTCTCTCACCCACCAACATGGCCCATTGGTGTGTTTTGTGGTTCTTCTGTTTTGTTTCTTGTTTTGGGCCATTCTCATAATGACACATAAGATGTCATCATGCATGTAATTCCCATTGCTGGTGGCGATCCCACTTCTCTGTGTCGTTTTTGTTTTGTTTTTGTTGTGGTTGTGTGTTTTTTTGCCTGTTTTTGCTTTGTTGTTTTTGGTTTGCTTTCTTGTCTGTTTTCTTGCTGGGACAGCTTCTGGACTGCGTACTGGTCCACTACCAGCACTTTTGTGGCTTTCGACAAGTTGACGGCCCTGCATGTAAATTACAATTCAACTGTTTGCCGAGATTGAATGTGTGTAACGACCTGGCGGAAGCCATGAAGGCGTTGGACGGAAAAAAATAGATCTGCAGGTGTGAGGGTGTGAAGATCTAGATCTGCAGGCGTGAGGGGTGAAGATGTAGATCAGCAGATGTGAGGGTGTGAAGATGTAGATCTGCAGATGTGAGGGTGTGAAGATCTAGATCTGCAGATGTGAGGGTGTGAAGATCTGGATCTGCAGGCCATGTGATCTCGGGGATCCTGGCGGGGGGGATCCCTGGTTTCCGCATGGTGCTTTGTTGCTTCACTCTGGTTGTTTTTGAGTTTATTTGTTGCTTTGCCAACCATACTGAGATGATACAAGGTTATCACCTCTTGCATCAATTGACCCATTTCACCTATGAACTGGACCTGTCACGTACTGTTTCGCTTGTGTGGGTTTTTGTTTGGTTTGGTTGTGTGTTGGTGTGTTTTGTTTGTTTTTGGTGTTCTGATTTTGTTTCGTTTTGTGCTTTGGTGATGACATTGTGACAGTACACAGGACTACGTATCGGTCCTTCACCAGTTCACTTTTGAGGCCACTCAACCGCAGACGGCCTACGTATGCCATACAATCAATTAATCCCAATTTGCAACATGCAACAAAACATGTTGAACGACCTGGCGAAAGCCATGAAGTGCGCCGCATCTTCAGCTTCTTCCTGTACCCATACAAGTAGATGCTGGGGAGACATTGGTAAAATGGAACCTGCCGTGCAGCAAAGTGGACTGGCGCGCTTTGGGGGCCACCGCACGCATACTTGCTCCTGCACGGAACAGGGAAGCCCAGCACTCTCTGCCCCTACCACCTCATAGTGGAGCAGGTGAAATGGGCCAAGACCAAGAAACATTCGTTCCTCTTCTGCACGGGAACCGGCATTCAGACGACTAAGTCTGGGTGGGTACCTTTGAGGCGATTGCACAAAGGCTAAAATTCAATCTGGTCGGCCCGCTGGGCTTCGACTATTCACGGGTCACTCAGCCAGGGCCACAGGAGCTGTCCCTATGGCTTCCCTCGAACAGCTTCAGGATTGGCCCAAGATGTACAGTATCGCTAAGCTTCCATTCTAGCGGCCACCAGAGAAGCAACTGCAGCCGCGACCGGCCTTGCCCACCAGCCTGTCGAAGCCTTGGCTGACTGCGAGGCGGCAGCCATCATCGAACCTCCGGCACCAGAACCACCGGAGAATGAGTAGTTTTCGTCAGAAACCGCTCTTCGAGAGGCAAAGTACACCAGGCCGCACGCCACGGGAATACCTTGCCACATTATTTGTGGCGCACAAAGTGCTTTTGGCACTTTGCCCGTGGCCAGGCCGACTATGCACTTCTAAAAGAAGAGCCAAACGGAGCAAAATGCTCCAACTGTTTCAAGCTCCCCTCGAATAACGAAAGCGAGCTCTTCTCCTTCCTCTTCCCGGTCGCAGTCGTCAGAGTCGTAATGCGCTTCGCAAGTAGGGCATGGTTGGCATTTGACTCATCTAGGAGTCAAGTTTTTACCTGACCAGAGTTTGATGCCAACCAAAGGCAATCCTAGCTGGACAGGTGAATCAAACCGCCAACCTGTTACAAAAGTCCTGCTCTGACATTTTGTTATTGCCCTTGCTCTCACGTTGATGATCGTTGTTTACTTTTACAAATAGTTTTCAAATGGTTGTTGCGACCATAAAGGATCTTTTGGACTGTGGACAAACCCGTGCACAATAAGGGGAACATATTTGGCCAAACGTTGAAGTTTTTAGTTTTCCCATTGTGTGGTTTAGTATGGGCATGGAAAAACGTGGAATGATTTCGGTTTCAACATTCGACTGATTTGATGTTTTAGCATGTTTTAGCACTTCAACTTAACAAAAATCAAAAAATCCACATCCCCAACTGGTATGCCATATGCGTCTGGTTTGTTTTTGATTCATCATTTTTGTTCCAATAGGATGATATCAGATAAACAAATGCGGTGGTTTGACTTCTACGCCCCTGTTTTTTTTTAATATTTCCCATATTTCACACTGTGTTTGAATTCTAGTCATCGGTCTGCGAGTGCACAGCCTGGTATATATTTCAAAATTTGATGGTTCAATGGCGGCATTGTTTTCCCACCAAATGTTGTTTCAGGACGAACAGTACTTGCACTAACGTTTCTTTTGCAAAATGAAATCCAAACAGGTATCATTTGCACGCGGATTGACACGGATGGAATGTGCTGTTTTTGTTTGTTTAATTCAGTGTTTTGCTTTTGCTGGTGAATGTAGTTTGCACAGACGTGATGCCTGGATGTTTCATTGGCATGCCAAAGTATTTGGTGCGTCATTTCATTCTCTTGATCTGAACAGTTTGTAATGTGATTCTTTGGCATTTTGGCTCGCAGATGCAGTTCATACCACCAATATCAATGTAGAAGGAAGGTTTCCAAGACAACAGTTCATCGCATGTCCGACAGTGCAACACCATTTCCTTGAACATGCCGGGGGCAGTTGCGTTCTTGAAGCAGGCGCTTCAATTTGATGCTGCGCAATTTTTTCCACTAAAAAAAAAAAAATCGGTTTTAAAATTCAGGAGTGTCAAAATCGAGTTTAGCATTTGTTTTTTGACAGTTTTGCTGCATGTTTGGCGTGTTTGTGGACATGATTTTTCTTCTTGTGTTCTTGCCCATTTTGGAAACATTACCCTTGTGTGCAGGATGCTCTTCACAATTTCCATTCGGAAACTGCGACTTCATCAACATGGGCACCAGATGTCTCTTGCTGCATGTGTTTGTTCCGGCAGTGTGGTTTGCACAGCATGTACTGGTGTAGCGGAACCTGGTGTACTTACAATATACAGAAGGTCTTGGGTTGCTTCAGTGTTTTGAAAAAATACGTTGTTTGAGGATATTTGAGGTATAGATGAAACATGTGCGGCTCAGAATCATCCCTTCAAAATATATGGTTTCATACAATTTCATATGTTTGGTCACAATTTGGTCACTTTGGTAACGAAAATGACCAACTTCCACTGGGTGCCTTGGTATTTTTCGGCTCAGTGCGGGGCTCACCACAGTGGTGAGTTTCGCCCGTTCGCCGAGCGCTGGGCTTGGCCGTTCATAGAAAGCGAACTTCAATTAGTCCATCGGTGGCCGCAGGACTGGGAAAATTTCTATTGGGAAAATATAGGAAAATGATGGAAAATGTATGTTGAATCAATTGAATCAGTTGAAGGTTTGTGGTTTTGAGATGGATATTTTTGGAATCCAATACAGGCTTCTCAAGAGCACGGTGAGCAGCCCCGTACATTCACCATCATTTCTTGGTGTCCAGGACTTCCACCATGACCTTCGTATCTGGCAGCCTGGATGGCTTGACTGGTCCACCGACTCCTTTTGCTTTACGAGTCAGGCAGGGAGGTCGTCTTGCACAAGCAGCACTGATGAACAGCACTGGTGATCATTTGGTGATTCTTAGAAGTGATGTCTCACTGCGACACATGAATAATTTATGGCCATTCCAGGACGAGAGTCAGGCTTTAAACTTTAAACCAAAGTTTCAATTGTGTTCTCCACACTTCGTTTCCCCTGTCGAGTTAGATTCATAGTTTTCTGATGTTTTCTGGATGGTCGAAAAAAACGTCTGTCACGTGTGACTTAGTTTTATTTCATGAGTGAAATGCGTTAGCAATTTCAAGTGAACGTTGCTGTTGTTCTCAAGTGTGGCGGGCGGGAGGGCCCAACTTTTGCGTTTTGTTTTCGGAAGCCATGGGATTTAGAGTTGTTACTGACCTTGAGGAGTACAGTATTTCAGAGTTGATCGAACTGATTGAAAAATCTGCCGCCCTGTTGCGCTTGAAATTGGGAACAGAGCCTTCTCAGTCTAAGCCTGAGTCTGTGTGCAGCTTCAGTGTCATTGAGCCTGGAACTTCGAGTGCCGCAGCAACTGCGTCTGAGCCCACAGCCAGCCCATTTGCTGGTGAGCGCGACCCATCTTTGAAGTCTCCATTTGAGTGCACATATCACTGCAAGTATTGCTATGCAAGGCGCTGCAGGCCAATCGATGCACACAAGAACCATGCCTGTTTGGAACACAGGCACAGGCGCTGAGGCTGGAGAAGGTAGCCCTGATCTCTCACTGCGTGGTTACAGGGCGAAATGGCAGAAACGCAGTAGTGCTTCAGTTTCTGGTTGCGACTCAGATGCTGGAGCTGGTGGTTTTGGTGACAATGAATTTCAGGGTGTTACACAGCAAGGCAATGCTGCTGCATGTAGCTCACAAGAACCAGAGGGACTTGTGCAAGTTGAGGATCTGTCTAAAGATGATTTGCTGGCAGACGCTTCATTGCGTGGCTTTGACTCTGAGCAACTGCAACAGCATCATGCGAGACAGGTTATTTCCAACACTGACCTCGGAGTTTTCAAGTTTCCATGGGAAAAGGGTAGACTGGCTAAGATTTTCATGGATCAGCCTGCTGTCACTGTGAAGGTGCCAAAGCTACAGCCTAGCAGTAGGAATCTTTCGCAGATGCACGTTCAGGTGGATGACAGCGGCAGTATGTCAGCCAAGCCTGTCCTGAAGCTTGACAAGCAAGTCACTGGAATGCCTGTTTTCTTAGACGTGATCAAGAGTCATGCAGATGTTCCACAGTCAGAGGACAGAGATGCTAAGAGGACGCAAGCCCTTAAGGCATGGTGGGTCTTGCTTTCACACCGTCTGACTGCAAGTGCGGTAGGTCTCAAAGTGACCGTGGAAGCTACTGCAGACAATGTCTTGGAGACGGCGCTGTCTATTTTAGACGCGACCTTCGCTGTCAAAAGCCCAGGCACATTGCTTAGACGGGTTTATGCAATACAAGCGTTTGATGACTGGTGTGTGGAAGCTCTATCCAAACACTGGCTACCTGTGCAAGAGTTCGATGTTTGGAGCTACGTGAAGTGGCTTCAAGCCACCAAAGCTCCTTCCACAAAAGCAGGTAGTTTGGTGGAGGCTCTGCGTTTCTCCTGGTATTTACTTGGCTGTGAAGGTTGTGATACAGCAGAAAGAAGTCTCCGAGTGAAAGGAGTCTCGGCACAGATGCGTGCGATGAAGCGACCCTGGCGACCAGCGGACCTGCTCAGTGTGAACGAGATAAAGATGCTGCACAAACTCCTGGATGACCCCAATGCTCCCTTAGGGGACAGATGCATAGCAGGCCACCTGCTTCACATGCTGTACAGCAGGTCAAGGTGGAGCGATTTGGTTGCAGTATCCTCCATTTACATGGACCCTGAGAGTCAGTATCTGGAAGTGTCCACTAGGTGCCACAAGTCCGCGCGGGGAGCTGAACAGAAAACAAAGCTACTGCCAATTGTTTGTCCCTGTGTTGGAGTGGATGGTGGCAACTGGGCTCTGACTTATTTTGAAGTCAGGCATATGTGCAACTTGATGCTGCCTTTGGACGGAGCTGGCCCCATGATGTGCTGTCCGTTGAATGCAGCAGCATCGGTGTGGACAAAGAGGGCTATGACTTCTGAGGAGGGCTCCGACTTCATGCGAAAGGTCTTGAATGCCCCGAAGACAGAAGAGAGGCGTATTTCGTCTCACTCACTGAAATCAACCATGATGTCATGGACTGCTAAGTTTGGTTTGTCAGAACATTCACGTGCAGTTCTGGCACGCCATGCTTCAAAGGCAGCTACAGCCACGGCTGTCTACTCAAGGGATTTGCTGTCGCCAATTCTTAGAGAGCTGAACCATGTCATCAAGTCAGTTCGGAACGGGTCTTTCAATCCTGATTCCACCAGATCAGGCATGTTGGCCGCAGGGGCAATGCCCTACTTTGGAGGGACTCCTTTGCCGATGCAGACAGAAGGTGCGCCTGCGACACCTGTGCCTGATGTGGATCGCAAATCTCATGGTAGTGTTGGCCTGGAACACCCGAGCCAGCAAGATGGTTGTCAAGTTGGTGATCACTCAGAAGTTCAGGGCGAAGTCCATGACTTGCTTGGGCGATCTGAAGAGCCGTCGCCATCTCTGGCGGCAGTTGAAGCTGATGCAGATGACTACAGTGAAACCACAGAAGAGAACAGCGTGCAGAGCTCCTCAGAGAGCGACCTGGAATGCAGTGGTGAGCAGCACAGGGGCGTGTTTGATTTTCCAACGGACTATGTGATCAACACCAAGTCCTTGGTGATTCATTATGTAAAGAAGCCCGGCCTGCTCGGATGTGGGAGAAAGCTCACCCCTTCATACTCCAAGGTCTTTGGGCTCAGCGGTATAAGGTGCTCTAGGTGTTTTGACGTTTAGATCAGCTGAGCATGTTGCCTAGCTTGGAAAAGAAGCGCACCTGAACTTGAGACTCAGCGTTGACATGTGCTGAGTTTGATCAACATGTTCAATGGTTTGTGAAACATGTTATTTTTGGCAAACTCTTGGAATTGCAAGCCATTAATTTGAATCACATGGCTTGGAAGTCATGTGAGAAATAGAGCTGTTGAAACAGCCACTTGTTCCTGTCAGTGAACAGGAACTCAGCGATGTTGTGATGCGTCGCATGGCATGCTGTGACATGCCTGTGCTGGATGGCTCTAGCAACGGTTGGCAGTTGCGATGCTGCATCATGTACACTGATTTGTGTCTTTTGTTTTAACCTCCACCAAGTCAACAGTTCAAGTTTCATTCTGTTTTGACTTGGTGTTGAACTGTGCATTTGAACATTCAATTTTTCTTCATTAGTTTGCCCGAACGGTGATGGCTTCGTTGGCTGATAGCAAGGCGCACTTTTTGGCACGCGCCAAGGAGTATTCAGTGCCTGATGAACTTGTGGACAATATGAGAGTGGCAGGTGTATCTACCATGGCTCATTTGGCCTTTGCTTTTGTGAGACCTGGACAAGACTTCGAAGAAGAGCGTTTTGACAATTGGGCAAAGACTGTGAACCTTGGGGTGGCACCAAGCTTAGGAGCTCTGGCCGCTTTGCGCAGACTGCATTTCGAAGCCGAAATCATCCTGACTGCTACTTTGAAATCGTCGGTGGAACATCCTCAGGATGCCAGCGTGCCCAAACCCTTGCCGTTTGCTGAAAGGACATCGAGAATGGCAGCAATCAAGCAGCAGTTTCCAGGTTTGTCCATAGAAGGAATCTATGAGCCATCACAAGCGCTACTTGATGAGTGTACGCATCAGTTTGATTCGCGTACGCTGAGGTATGTGGAGCCTGCAAAGTGCAACTCAAGAGAACTGGAGATTGCAGTAGGGAAATCTGACAAGAAGCTGAGGATTGAATCCAGTACTTTGGCGATACGTGAAACGAAACATACTCCTGATGAAGATGTATCGACAGCATACAAGCTGCTGAACTGCATGAAGCGTCGAGCTATAGCCTATGAATTTGCAGGGCTAATCTCATATGGTGCTCATGAAAAATACGTTGACAAACTCTTCAGGAGGCTCAGCTGTGAACCGCCACCCAGCTATCAACAGACCTCAATCTCGCAGATTTTGAAGGCAGACAGAGAGGCTTGGGTGTTCATGGCTCAGAATGTAGCTGACATCAGACCAGCTGCTGATGGTTCTCGGCCGCTTGACAAAGCGTGACATGAAGCTCTGAGTGATTACAATGTGACCTTTCACATGTTGCCCTTGCCGTTGGCCGCAGCTAGCGCCTATGCGCCTGTGAGGAGCAAAGATGACCAAGGTGGACGTGAACAAAATTATGGGCCTCAGAACTTCAAAGGCAACAGCTTTGGGAAGAAAGGTAAAGGCAAGTCGAAAGCTTCCGGGCAAGGCTCAAGCTATGCTCCGCGGGGCATCAAAGGTGCAGTTGGCCAAGACTCGAAAGGAAGGCCAATTTGTTTCAACTTCAACTTGTCGGAGTGCCAAGATGCAGCAGCAGGAGCTGCCTGTAAGAAGGGCAGGCACGTATGCTTCAAGGCCAACTGTTTCAAGCCTCATGCTTTTAGTTCGGCTCACCCAGAAGAGATGCCGAAGCAATCTGCCAACTGACAAAAGGAATCCATTTTGGATGGTTTCACAGCACAAGATATTATTGTGTTGGAACTTTTCTGTGGCACTGCCGGAGTTACTGCATGCTTTAAGAGATGTGGTTTTGCAAATGCCGTTGCAGTTGACAAGACGCGTCATACAGGGTCTTTGGCTGGAATCATTTCTTTGGATTTGACGAAAATAGAAGATCAGCGTCTTGTGTTGCAGTGGCTGGACCACCCAGCAGTGCGAGCTGTTTTTCTAGCTCCTCCTTGCGGTACGGCTAGTGCTGCAAGGATGATCGAACTTGTAGGAGAGGATGCACCACGGCCGTTGCGGTCATTTGAAGAACCTGACGGGCTCTCCTCATTGCATGGGACTGATCTTTTGAGAGTGATTGCGGCCAATATTTTATATGCATTTACAGCTGAAATTGTTGAGAAATGTTGTGCCAACAATGTTCTTTGCATGGTTGAAAACCCGAGAAACAGCTTGTTTTGGTTTGTGACGCCGTGGGTGGAGTTGACAGTGGCGCATTTGTTGTATTACCAGGACCATCAAGCTTGCATGTATGGTTCAAAAAGACCCAAATTCACCAGGCTTTGCGCAAACTTTGAGCAGGTGTGTACCATTTCTGCCCTTTGTGATGGAAGGCATGAACACGAACCTTGGGGCATTGTCCGTCAAGGTGCAAAGCGCACATTTGCCACTGCATTGGAGGTACACTACCCCAAGCCACTTTGTGAGGCTATTGTGAAAGCCTTCATGCTTAAATTCGTTGAGCTTGGTATGAAGTTGGAAGGGATTACTGGACCCTTACACCACGCTGCGAAAGCCTTGGCGGGTCAACAAGCTATTTCCATGAAATTGCCGCCACTGATTCCCACCTACAAACATCGGTATGTCGTTTTCCTTTTAAATCATTTGGTCCAGTGGCCTGTGCTAGCCAATTTGCCTGGAGAGCACAAACTACTCCACACAGCTGTTCTGGGGGAAGTTGTAGGTGTGGAGTTGCGTGCGTCTTTCAAGAAACGCATATTGGAAGAACTTTGTGTTTGGATGGTTGATTTTTCTTGGGAAAGCTTCGAAGCATTCACTGGTGAGTTCAATGAGTTCAGAGTTTTTGGAGTGCCATGGGAACCAGAGGAATTTCTTCACAGGTCACTGAAAGTTGCACACCCCATGGATAGATCTAGTGCGTTGCCAGTGGAGTTGAGGTTTGCGGTGCTGCAGATGTCAAAACGAAGCCCTGCAGATATTGCTCGTCACAGACTGGATTTCTTCAAGTTTTGGAATGGTAGGGCGAAACAATTGGAAGTTGAGGAGCTTGAGATGCGGAAGTCCATGGATAACGTTGTTGCAGCTGCTGTGCAAACCAAGAAGCTTGCGCTTTTTAAAGAGATGTTGGAGTTTTACCAATACCCTGACATGGGTGTGCTGGATGAGTTGGTTGAAGGAGCTGAGCTAATTGGCGAGGTGCCCAGAACTGGTATGTTGCCGTTGAAGTTTTCCCCTGCCTTGCTTACTGAAGCTGCCCTTGAAACTCACTCAATTTTGAGACGGCCCTTAGTCGAGGCGGACGGAAGAAGCTCAGGTGATTTGGAAGTGGATCGAGAAGTTTGGGAGCAGACACTGCAGGAGTGTGCGAAAGGGTGGCTTGCAGGACCTTTGACATCAGATCAAGTTCCAGAAGGAGCTCCCATTTCAAAACGGTTTGGGCTGCGGCAGAAGCACAAGATAAGGTTGATTGACGACTTCTCTGAGTCGTGTGTGAATCAAGCAGTAACTGTTTTTGAATCCCCTACTTTGCACACTGTTGATGTTGCATGCGCTGCCGTGGCGTGTTGGTTTGGAGACTGTGTGGATGCTGGGATGGCTTCAGACTTGCAGGTTAAAACTTTCGACTTAGCCAGCGCCTACCGACAAGTTGGTCTCAATGCAAATGGCAGGCGTGTGGCTTACATAAGGGTATGGAACCCTAGCACTAGCTCTTGGGCCTATTTCCAAGCCCAAGTGCTCCCCTTTGGAGCAGTCCGTAGTGTTCACTCGTTTCTGAGATTGGCGCGAGCCATTTGGTGGTTGGGCACTACAGCTTGTTTGCTTGTGTGGTCGTCATTTTTCGATGACTACATTGTCTTCAGTACCCCGACCTTGTCTAAGAGCACGGAGTTGACTGCTTCTTCCCTCTTTTCCTTGCTGGGTTGGGACTATGCTAAGGAGGGCAGAAAATGCGTACCCTTCAGTGCAAGCTGTGAAGCTTTGGGAGTCAACTTTGACCTGTCCCAGTCATCCAAAGGGTTGTGCTTTGTTTCCAACACTCAGTCCAGGGTTGAAGAGCTGGTTACTGAACTTGACAGGACTATAGCTGCGGGAAAAATTTTGCAGTCAGAAGCACAGCGCCTTAGGGGAAGGATGCAGTTCGCAGACTCCCAGCTTTACGGACGAACTGGAAAGCGATGCAGCAAAGCACTTCGAGAAGCAGCTTGCAGAAGAAGTACAAAGCTGAAGGATTGTGATTTGCTTGCTTTGCAACTGTTTTCTACACTGCTCTCCACAGGGAAGCCGCGCACTGTGCTTTGGGGCCAGCTGTGGTGATTTACACTGACGCGTGCTATGAGAAGGAATCAAAGAGCCTAATTTGTGGTTTAGGCGGAGTGCTGGTTGATGGGTTCTCTGGAGAGAAGTTTTTCTTTTCAATTTCTTTGGATGCGATGCAGAGAGCTTCCCTTGGTGAGCAGACGAAGCAACAGATAATTTTTGAAGCGGAGACGCTAGCAGGAGTGCTGGCTTTCTGGATCTGGAAGGATTTCTTTGAGAAGAGGAATTGTTTTCTTTACTTGGATAATGAGGGCACAAAGTTTTGCCTTATAAAAGGATCGTCGGACAATGCAGTGGTTGATATTTTGTGCGCAATTTTTGCTGAGCTGGAAATGCAGATTGAAACTTCATGTTGGTTGGCGAGAGTGCCATCGCATTCAAATATAGCAGACAAACCTTCGAGAGCTGAAGTGACAGAGCTTTTAGAAAATGGATACAAAGATCATTCAAAGTTGGCTGAGGAAAAGTTGAAGGACCTCTTAGCATTCATGAATCTGAAAGTGGGGAGAAAGGCTGAATGCGTTGTGAGGTCCCCATGCAAAACAAGTGAGCGCTTGCAATCCGTTGATCACATGTCAGTTGCATAGTGAACGGCGACTTGAAATAAGCGTCTGTCACGTGTGACTTAGTTTTATTTCATGAGTGAAATGCGTTAGCAATTTCAAGTGAACGTTGCTGTTGTTCTCAAGTGTGGCGGGCGGGAGGGCCCAACTTTTGCGTTTTGTTTTCGGAACCCACCTCCTGCCCCTACACTCCTCCTGTGCCATACCCACAGCCAGAAAGGCTGAATGCGTTGTGAGGTCCCCATGCAAAACAAGTGAGCGCTTGCAATCCGTTGATCACATGTCAGTTGCATAGTGAACGGCGACTTGAAATAAATCAAGTGTTCTCCATGTAGTGTAGATATTCTCTCTAAGAATCAAATTCCCAATAGCGAATCTGTTGGGTTTCAATCTCTGGGGCCGGGGGACTGGTGACACGAAAATGCACGCCCCGAAAAACCGGAGCAGTCTTGGAACCTTGCTGGAACCTTTCGCTGTTGGGTTGCAAAGCTGGGATAATGTGATAGCTGATATAAACGCACCCATGGACCTTCGCCAAGGAAAGAAAAATGAGAAAATAAAGGTGGTACTAGGTACAGAGGAACTATTTCCAGCCATCTATTGGAAACATTTCCGAATTGATGATTTTTGCATCCCATCTATTCCAGCCACTGCAGGCCGTGGCTGATCTTAATCTTTGCCATGCTGGGCTTCGTAGGGCTGGCGCGCTTGGCTTTGTTAGATGTGACTGGAGGACTCTTCCTGGTGCTGGCCGTCACTTGGAGTTGATAATTGGGAAGCTGGGGGAAGGCTGGTGCCAGGGTTTTTCTTCAACCAGGCGACCAGGATTTGCGGCGAATTTGGATGTCATTTGAGCTAAGGTCTTCATCGGCTACATGGCCATCAGGCAGCTTGGCTGGTTCAAAGGTAGCCAAATGGTATAGCTTGGTTCAAATGGCCCAACTTGATACTGGCTCATATCACTTGCACTGACAAGTGCTATGAGGAAAGGGATGAACATCGCCTGGTTGCTATGCCTGGCGATGATCCTGTGTCTTACCTGCAGAGAGAAGTAAATTGCGTGCAAAGTTCTAGACAGTTATATATCACCCACTTCAATGGGGGTGTTGGCAGAAAATGCTGAGTCACCAAAAACTTCAACTGAGGTTCCTGAATTCAATGCTTGATGGCTTTCTAGTGTGGACCTCAGGTATTTGATGGTTGCAGTTTTAGTGGAAAGCTTGCAGTGCGAGGTACTCGCGCTGGGACTTCGAACCCAGTGGGACTTCTTCTTCAAAAAACAGTTTCAGGGTCGCAGCTTCTGTGTTTGATTGGGTTTGATGGTTTCGGTGCATGGGGGACCTTTTGGGATGTCTTTTGGTATATGTAGAACTAAGTGATGGACTTAAGCTGCCCACTGCAGCTACTAAAACTCAAAACATCTGTGTCCTTTGGCCTCCATTGCCACCGTCACGTTCTTGGAAGATGATCACCAAGACTTGAGGATATGCAGCAGATCAGATCATGAATTTTAATTAGAATTGCTAAGATAAAAGAGCCCATGCTGGACACAAGCATATGAAGAGACTCTTTAGTGGACAGCAATCCCTTGCGAAGAAATAGAAGAGGCATCGGACTATACCGAACTAATGTTCAAGCTCTTTTTTGCAGGGTTGCTCCAACCCATTAAAGGCAAATGATAGCCACTAGGTCGGAAGATTGGTCATTTTGTTCCCTCAAACATAGTTGTAAGTGCCCAGGGAGCAACCCTGTTTTGTGCCAACAAAAGGGACCAGCCGCCACAAAAGCCTGCAATTTTTTCAGTGTTTCCTGGCAAAAGTCTGGGCTGAGGCCTTGGTATTTATTTCTTGGACGGTTCTTGACCTTCATAGGGCCCATGTTGGAGCTGGTTGGTGCCTACCTCTCCTGGGCCATCTACAAGGCCGATCGGACTTGAATCTTTCTAGACACGTTCCATAGAAATTTGATTTTGATCAACACATACTATTTTAAAAGAGGGCTTGATTAACGTCCATCTTGCCTTCCAAACTCAATTTATTTATATATGTAATATTACGTATGTATAAATAACATCACTGTATTTAATTGTACATATGTGTGCGTACATATACATATATATATATATACACATGGAATGGATGTACCTGAATCTCCGGTATCCACTGCTTGCCAGGACCACATGGAGCATATTCCCAGCAGCGAGGTATTTCTCGTCCCAGATAGCCAGGTGGGCTGGTCAACTTCAACCCTTCAAACCATTGTCTTCGATGGCTAGTAGTCATGCATCTTTGTACACGCCATGGCTTAAGAACACGAACATATGGGATGACGTCAAAAATCAATTGTTTTGAGCAAACAAATTGCCCAAAACCAGAATTTTCTTTGGTGTTTTCCAAATTTTCCAATGGTTTAGCGATTTTTATCGCAGGGACATCCACTGATTTTATCCCCTGATTTCATGGTTTTCCCATGGCTTGGACACCGCAGGTGTCCTACCACTCCACCGAGCCGCCACGGCCGCCGCCGCCGCGGCCCGGCTTCGCCGCCTTCAGTGGCCCTGCGCACCGCCTGGAGTGAAGGCTGGGGCCATTTTTGGGAACGACATTTTTTTGAAGGAAAAAAAAATCAAGGGGGAAACCCCCGTTTTTTGGTGATTGTTTTTTTTTTCAAAGTCAAATTGTTGAAACGGCAATCTTTATTTCGGGAAAATGCCAATTTTTCTATGGGACTTTTGGGAATTTGGGTTTCCACAGATCGCGCACGACGTGAAAAGTGGCGTGCCAGGTGCAATCTTTAGTTTGTGCACTGAGATGTTGGAGCTGGTGCTTGAAACAAAGCCAGGGATGGCTTGTGAAATCTTGTGAACATGGCTTCTGAACGTGGCTTGTGAACGTGGAACATAGGTCATCATAGGTCAACAGTTCTGCTTCAACCATAATGGTTGTAGACTGGGATGATTAGGGATGATATCATGAATCGCTGGACTGGCCGATGTTTGCACTCCAGAAAACCCAGACTGTTAGACTGTTAGGACTGTTAGGATGCCAGGCTGTTGCTCTTCTTGTTGCTGTTGTTATTGATGTTGATGACTGTCAATTGCGACATCTCCATATTTGTTGATGATCAGAAAATTCCACAATTTTTTAAGTGCGGCTCACAGCACCATCAGCAGCTGATACATCCAATCATATCATTACTGTACCACAACAGCATTAGTTTCACTAGTTGTGAACTGATTGCTGCACCACGAGCCATCCCACGTCGAGTCATGGTTTGGACGCTACCAGAGCTGGTAGAAGGGCCTGCAGGGCCAATCTAGATCTCTGAGGCAGAGCTGGAGCTGCCACAGATTCAAAGCCGTGCATCGTGTCACCCTTCCGTGTCAAAGCCGAGACGTGCCCGGACAATCCGCGGACGCAGCAAAAGGGCTTGATGCAGCCGAAGTTGAAGTTACTCATGTTACTCTGTGTTCCTGTGTGATTTTCTGAGATCCATCCACTGAGTCGTCCACAGTCAGGGACCATTGTTTGAGTCTAGGCAGTCAAGGTGAAACTCAGGAAGCGTTGTGGTGCCGCTGTTGCGACTGTGCCAGGATTTGCTGTTTGTTCCAAAGACGCTCAGAGCAAGTCGAGGTGCATCTGGGTGTTGTGTGACCTTGGCGAGCTCTTTGGCTTTGTGGTGGATTCTGGCATCTCCAAAAGGGATAGAGTATATAACTTATAACTTAATATAACTTATATTGTAAGGTTTAAAGACACATAGAGGGTTTGATACTGCCATACTATCCTTTGCCTGCTACATCTATGAACCTAATGTCAAGCCCAGATTCATGAACCCTGGTTTGTCAATTTCGAGGTTAATGCCAAAATAGTGATAATTTATGATCATTTGCTATGAAAACTGGTACCCCCTACTAATAAACAGGGGGTTCATCAATCGTGGGTTGACATTGTCAACGCACCCAGTCTGGCTGTGCCCATTGGAGGTGCAGGATTCCTAGTGGAGGCTCCCGAAGCTCCAGTGTGGCTTGTCTGATACCATAGGATACCCCCAAAGTTGATGGCTTAACACCTCGTTTTCCCAACACAATGCCACATCTTGGGGGTCATTTTATCCATTTTCAGACACACCCAAATCGCAACCGTCAGATTGCTAATATTGATGTCGCAGTTGATTCAAGTCTGTGTGACGCCAGGCAGCTCCTTTGGCAATGCCTGGTATGCTTTGTTTGTTAAATACTTTGTACTTTCTTTGAGATTGTGAATTTTGTTGAGATGATTTCCCCCCCTCGCAAAATGTGTGGCATTCAAACTATACTACTTGGACATGGGTGTGTATCCATTTATATCCATTCATCCATCTATCCTCATCTATACCTGCCACCCGAGGCATCCAACCAGCTTCGGTGGTCATGGACACCACGCGCCGCCCGGCAATCCACAGGAAGCATTAGAACAGGCGAAGGCTGGGTTCAAAACGCCTGGACCTTGGTGAAGTTTGGTGGAGCTATGGCAGCTACGGTTGTTGGATTTTTGGTGGATTTTTGGTGGTGGATTTCCTCCACTCTCTGAGAGAAACACCGACATAAAAAAGGTTTCAAAACAGTTTGAAACCACTGGATGGAACGGTGTACCCTATTTTTGACAAACCCTGATGCATTTTCAAGTTTGGGATGTAATTTTGAGGCGTGAAAAACAGATCATGTGGATGGCGATGGGGCCGATGGGGTCATTCTTCGATGCTTTGGTGAGCCCAGCTGTTCCTCGCGCCGAGGTGTATGCTAGGCTTCATGGCGTCCAGTGCCGCCTTGCCTCTTGGCCGAGGTTTCACTTCTGGGAACAGGACCAGCCGCCCAGCCGTTCATCCCCTGCGAGAATTACACTCTGATTTCTTCATCATCCAATATGACTGAATATATATATATGTATAATATATATATACATATTATATATATATGAATCATGGTGAACCACCAATCTTGATCTGCTCGGCCCCATATGCAAATTCATTGGTCAGTGCACTTCCCCATATTTATTCATTGGTCAGTGCACAAACCCCCAATTCTTATTGGCACGATTCCCTCGCTCGCTTGTTTGATCCGCTTTTTTCACGGTTAAGCCATTGAAATCTCCAATACTCGTGGCTAAACTTTCCCATTGTTGGTTGGCGAAAATTTGCCGAATTGTTTGGTGAACCTCTCAGATTCTTGGCCCCCAAATCTATTGGTTTCGATGTCATTTCACCCTGCAACCAAGGCTCAGTTCCTATGTCACGTGGAGTTTAGAGAAGGCCCTTTTGAACCTTTTGAGCTATGGAAAAATGTGGGAAAAATCCACGAAACATGGGATTTTCACACACTTTGGAAAAACAGGATTTTGGAAAATAGATGGGAGCTTTAGACAGCGATGGAGAAGCAAAAGATGTGGGG